TGTATACGGGCTTATTTCAAAATATGTTCTATTTATCATTTTCCATGACGCCCTCTACGTGTTCTGGGTCGTACCATAGATTGACCTCTGTGTCAAAACCGCAGGCCTGGCGACGACGGTAATAAAATGATCAAGCCACTTCATCATGTCGCTTAAGATACTGTGTTTATGCCAAAGCAGGGCACCCACTGACAATGTGTTGGACAGTCTCATTAAATTCATTGCACATTCTAAATTTCATATTTACATGTTGATGCAAAATCAAACATTGACAGTTTCGAGTTGGAAGTGACTGGTCCTGAGCAGTAAACAGAAAGCCTTCGGTTTCACATTTCAGGCCAGCCGACTTCATTTAAGCAAAGGATTCTGCAGGGTTGCCGAACTTCTCAACACACTGAACATAAATTCGATGCACGATGCAGTGGTCGTTCAGATAGGCTCTCCTTGAGAAACTTGCAATTGGTCTTAGCCGATTTGATATGGCACTTTGTTTGGTTGACATTCAATTCTGTACCATCAAGCAGTACATTGACGTTGTTGTTGTTGTTATTATTATTATAGGAACTAGTTTACATAAGTATAACATCCTTTCTTAAAAGTTCTGAATCGCCGTTGACCTCATATGAAAACATGCCAGTTACAGAAATCTGATATTTTCTTCGGTCGATGATATTCTGTAACGTCTCCAGCCTTTGAACTGACTCAGCGACACACTTACCGCTTTTGCTTTCATAATCAATTGATAACGTCACATTTCAATAAACAATTTGAACGCATGGACACACTGGCCTTCTTACCAAATGAGACTGGGAAAAAACGATCATTTCGACACTCAATACCAGTCTAGAAATAGTAGTAATGCACGCAATATTTCTTTGTTCCTAAATTCATTAGTACCTTCGAGAGGATTCATCGGGTTTCAGGCGGGAGATTCACCTTTCTGTTTCAAATTGTATACATGTGTGTCCTTTTAGAACATTATTGTATATAATAACTATTATAATCATACGATATTGGATACGCGAAATTAGGAATATTTCATTACCTCTCGTATCTTCTCTTTAAACCAGGAACCTGTTTTCAACAGTATATCTTATAATAAAATACATAATACATTTCAGACGTTTACCATTTTGATGAAATCTAAGAGCACAGGTGTGGTGCTGACAAACTTAGTAATCTGATCGAAACGGGATTCGAACCCACGATCGCCGCTGTTTGGTGCCATGGAACGCAACCTTGCCTGCAGTCGACGGTGCCAGTCGTTACCCCTGATATGAAGAATAATGTCACAAAAGAAAACGTAAAAGCTTTAGAGTGCTTGATCCTTGTATAACTGACCCAAGGTATTCCAAACCTACATGTGCAGGAAACACCGCCTTCTCGGCGATCGATGAATGTTTTAATCGTTTATGTTGCCATTATAAGTTATCATATTAAGATATGTTTATAGTAATCGGTTCTTATGCCTTTCACGTCAATGGAATCTGGTTTCGGCGGATAATTCTCTGGCATTGACGTTTTATATTTTATGTTGCCATTATTAGGTAATTTAGAGTTATTTTATATTAATTGGCGTGTAATCCTGTCTGTGAAGGTATGGTGTTTTAGTAGTTATATTTGTTCCTTAAATTACGCACACATATAAAAATTTCAAAAGGAATTTTAAACGCCAGAGAATAATCAGTCTCGAATTTGTGCCGGAAGGTATAAAAGGCAAAAGAGTGATGGTTATTACATGTAATCAGTAATGACACCAGGTGTTCGCAAGGGTAAGCAAGTGCTGCTATACCGTTAGCACCCGCCACTCTCTCACTTATCATTAAAAAAGTAAGTGTGTTTGTTAATTTGTTTAATTGTTGATTCACTCCCACACCGCAGCTTATTCTGTAGCAATGATTCGTTAAATTTTCAAGTTTACTATATTATGCGTTTTTGTGTAACCAAACATGCTAGATTTGTGTAGTGTTCCCAGTCCTTCCCGTCCTTGTGCCACCAAATATGTAGGGACCGTGTAATGTAACCTTCCTTTCTGCTGTTAAGTAACCAATGATATCATTGTGTGATGTAATCAGTCCTTTTCTATTTTATGTACCCAAATGTGCTAACACACTGTGTACATTCGTCACCACTCGCCCCTTTCCGTAACCTGCAAGAAGACTCGTCCCAATCAGAAACCAATCAGAATGCGCGTATGATTTCAAGTTCTTCGTCAAAGAATCCCTCAGAAATCTTTTTTTGATTTTACTTATGTCTTGCATCTAAAAATATACCCATAATATATATGGGGATATATGTGTGAACCATTACGCAACGAGTTGACAATTGTTTAGGTATGCCCGTTTGCGCTAAGACGGAACCCGGTCGCAAAAATGGCCATGATCGGGGCACGAGGCGCTATCCGGCTTGTCCTGGAATAACGCGAGTTGGTCACGAATGACACTGTGTAATGTAACCATTCTTATTCGCATTTAAAGTAACCAAGTATGCTAGTATTGTGAAATGTAATCAGTCCTTGGCGTTTCTATGTAACCAAATATGCTACCCACTGTCTAATGTAATCAGCCCTTTCCGATTGTATGTAACCAAATATGCTAGCACTGTGTAATGTAACCACTTATTTCTGTTTTATGTAACCAAATATTCCAGCAGTAAGTGTCATGTTACCACTCCACTCCGTTGTTTTGCTTGCATGTTGACAATGAAATTTCTTCAAGACAGCTAAAAAGGTGTTTCTTTACACAGTGCAACAGAACTTGAAACGTGTCCTTCTGCACAGAACAATATTGCTACTGTACTTGAACACAGAACACGATCGCGAAGCTAAGACTAAAAAGGCAAATATGTATACGGCATCAGCGCTTCACTCTAAATCCTGCGCATCTGTCATGTTTATGGCCAATAAAAATATTTTCCCTCGTGATATGAAGCATAATGTTATCCGAGTTCAATGTGTGCCCAGTTTTGTTTGCTTGTATTCTTGGTTTGTTTGTTTGTTTGTTGTTTAACGGCGCATTCAGCAATATTCCAGTTATATGATGGTGGTCTAAAGAATAATCGAGTCTGGACAAAACAATCCAGTGATTGATTTCATGAACATTGATCCACACGATTGGAATACGATGACATGCATCAACCAATCAGCGTGTCTGACCACCCGATCCCGCTAGTCGCCTCTTACTACAAGCATAGTCGCTTTTTATGTCAAGCATGGGTTACTGAAGACCTATTCTGTCCTTGATTTTCACGGGTCTGGTATTCTTATGGGGAAAGGTAAAGTTTCCTCAATGTATCGGATGGAAGACGGCATCTTACCGAATCCCTTCTGCGTGCATCGATGCTCATGATGTCAATCACTGGAGTGTCTGATCCAAAAATATTTACTGACCGCCGTCATAACAATGGCATATTGCTGAGTGCGGCATTAAACAGCAAAAGAATATAAATACGTAGAAATACCGCGAGACTAGAACCAATTCGTCAAAAATCATCCAGCGCAGATATTTGAAAACATTATTTAAACTGTCCTCCCTAGACAAAAGGACGCGATCGATAAGTTCAAAAATACTTATATACTGAGGGGATAGACATGACGTCAAAAGAACGTGAATAATGGTAATTGATTAGCGCTAAATGTAAAGTTATTGTCGTTGCTCGTCGGGTTTTCAGTCTCATGTGCATTGCAACACTAACAATTGAAAGTTAGAGAACCATAACGAGTTTATTTGCAACATTTATTAAATGAAATCAGAATATGAAAATAGATATATTCCTCAGCGGTCGGGCGGTGGTCAGCAAAAGTATGGCCTAACGTTGATTCGTTACCAGTCACAATACAGGATTCGAAAATGTCACGATAAATGTAGTACTAATGTCGAATCCCAGCATACAGTTAGAGTGAGTGAGTGTGTTTGGTTTTACGCCGCTTTTAGCAATATTCCAGCAATACCACGGCGGAGGACACCAGAAATGGGCTTCACACATTGTACCCATGTCGGGATTCGATCCCGGGTCTTCGGCGTGACGAGCGAATGCTTTAACCACTAGGCTACCCGACCGCCCCTACAGTTAGACATGTCGGGGCGTCTTTCGGAAGGTTCATGGACGTAACGCTGACAAATATGATTTGTGTGGGCTACGTTTCATTATAATTAAGTGTCTACTCTTTGGGACCGACACGGAGGTATGAAGGCAGCGTGTCTACACTTAGGGATGTTCTGATAACTTTGAACACCGTTGTACAGAGCACACTCTCTGTTCTGGACGCATGAATTCGATGATTCATCATTTTTCCAATTACCTTTACTCAAAGGCACATGAATTGTATATGACGTCATTTTATCAAGATATGCCAGAGCATTATGATAATTGTCATTGCATTAAAGGCCTGTGTCGCTATGATCACATATTCCATAGAAATGTAAATAAAAATGACAAAATATGTTTCCATTGTCTCAATCTCCACTCTACAAATCCATCATACGATTCCGAATATACAACACAACTGTGAAGTATGTGTTGTTATTATCATCTAAACCAGAGCAATTGGTCATAACTGTCATTATCTTCGCAATATCCCAGACATAGTTTCATTTGCATCTGTGTTTTCAATTAGTTTTGATAACATTCTAACTGTATCGGACAAAACAGAAATTTGTCTTCCAAGTCTTTCTTTGGATATAGTTCCGAGGCCTAAGTAGGAATTTTGACTTTTGAAATTAGCATACGAGATGCACGTTTTCTTCTCAAAGTGTGATAAATGAATTGATGAAGCCCTGGCCAGACACCGGAATCTCTCGAATATGCATGCACCCAACAAGATGTAGAAAATAGTGAAAGATGAATACTGCGCATGGGAGGCAGAATGACAAATGGTTTAGCTGCTAAATCGCTCCGTTTTGCTATTAACATTATTTTGGGGGTTATATGTTAAATACTCAAGGAAAGATCCTTCTCTATGCAAGGGGTCTCCATTAACATTTGTCCTTTTTCTACTGCAGGTGAAATTCAGTGGTCTAACGGGAAATGTTGCATTTGATCGAAGGGGCCTGCGAACGGATTACAGGATGAGTGTGTTTACTGTCAGCCTTAACAATGGGCCTCAAAAGGTAAGACCAATCATCACTTATGCTGTTTCTTCAGTGATGCCAATATTTCATGTGATGGACTGTCATATATATGTCATTACTATGCGATTTTTGTAGTTAATTGGTTAAATCCATACAATTTGTGAATGTTGTTCGTCTCTGGGGGGCATCATTCCAATATCGCGACGACCTGTACATAATCAGGGCAGATAAACCGGTGCTAAATACTTTGAAAACGTCCTATTTGAAGGATACCACTACACCGTGAAACCCAGAAACCGAGCGTGACCTCTCGGTACAATTTAGTCGACGCGTACGTCTTGAGTGATGTTGATCCATTCTAACCCGGGCCCTCACCATGTTTAGTTTATAAGAGCATAACGTCAAGTGTGAGTGAGTTAAGTATTGACGTCGATTTGAACAGTATTTCACTTATGTCATGGCGTGTTAATTTGATGTGCGAGGAATACCAGAACTTATGTAGGTATGCATCGTTTACCACTTCGGAGAAACAAAGAGTTCGGATATGTTTGTGACAATCCAAGAAATATAGGAGTCGAACCCAAGATGATAAGTTTACGGCAAGCCAATGGGAACTGCTGCGCCAAAGACAACGCTGTCAACGTAAACAAATAATAACGATAAATGTATGTGTCTTGTTTCGCCTCACATGGCTTAATTGAATTCGGAATACATTTGAATACATCCGCACATAACGCATTTATTATTTGTAAATCACGAAAGGTCTTACCTTTTACACGCTCTGTGAGAGGAATTATATTTGTGGGTGTATCATGTCTCCGTATCTCATACATTCACATCAGATTAAGAGTTGGGCAGTAAACAGTGACAGCTTGCTACGTGAAAGGTAGAATGTCTTTTTATCCCGTTCCATTCATCTGTGTGGTGATCCTCACTGCAATGGGTTATTGACCATTGGCCACAATGATCATTCAAAACCCTACTAAACATGATACATGACCTTTTAATGAAGACATAGATGAATTCAACTGTTGCATGTTTGATGTGTGATGCTCCACTCCTTCGTGATTCAGGAGACATCCCTGGCTCCAACTGTCGTATAAGTAGGACATTTCGTAATCGAATGAACTATTCTACCCAAATGTGTCTCTTTAAAAATACAACCGCAAAAAGGCAGTGATGTTTTTTTGCGTCTATATGGTTTTGGTTTTTAACTTCTATGCATACGTCTTGCATGTATACACTACACAAGTATTGAAAATAAATACTACTAAATGTAACGAGAAACACCTGGTGTCTTCTGACATTGCCTTGGTCTAGCCTGATGAAGGAGTAAGCATATACTCCGAAACGTTGTGTTCCTCATAATAAAGAAGTTGACATCCATATATCCTCTTCCTTATTATCACCTGATGAAGGAGTAAGCATATACTCCGAAACGTTGTGTTAGTCATAATAAAGAAGTTGACATCCATATACTCTCTTCCTCCTCTAAATGCCTTTCAAAGACCTGAAATTGACATTGTTTATTGAGCTGTTTCACCACCCTCTTTCATGGAGTGTCGCTGTTACCAAGTATGGTTTTGTTAATGAATTTGTTATGATAAAACACAAACTATTACGAATAAGCAAATACAATGTCCACTGCGTTATTTTCAATAACATAACATTAACACAACGTCATGTGAAGCACAGCTACTTTTTCCGCGAGAATATGTGGGCAACTTCAGAAAAATTGAAACGAATATGCTTTTGATAGTATACAATATCAGGTTACTCTTCATGAATTTCTGATATAACACCCTAAGTAGTATATTCATCTTTCAGATTTCAAATTCGAAATAAGCATTCATTATGACTGATATGTACCAATACGCCAACATGAATGCAACGTGAAATCTGGCTTCCACACTGAACGAGCTGCAGGGAACATAACAGGTCGGAAAGACATTTCGACCTTCATTCGGTTTGCATGAGGCTCCACTCAGCAAATGACACAGGGTCTGACTAATTAGACAAGCCTTCAACAAACAGTGCATGTTTCTTCATTGTCAGAAATAACAGCGGAAATATTGTTTATGGTCTTTTAGAAAATGAGATATTCAAATTAGTGTCGCTGCAAAAGGTTGAAAAAAAAGTTATTTTACGGTGAAGGAATATCTTCACAACGATAGGATCAAACCAAACATTGGTATGCACAGCACAACCTATACACTCGATGCATATTGCCTTCTGTCTCAAATTCCAAGTGAGATGTATTCGCCAGATTAGTACAGTACTGTTCAAAACGAACCTCCCCGCGATCACCATCCAGACGTGGTCGTACTCGACCGAGGAAATGTTTGTTTGTAACAGCAGTCTACATGCTAGAAAAAATACATAGAAAAGACTGCTTTATGTTAGATTATTGACACTGAAACATTCTTAAACGTTTTCGGGTTTTTTAATGTCATGAAAATCTTACTGAAGTCGCGCTTTCGTGGTCAAGTGACGAAGAGCGAAAGGTCGGTGGTTCCATCCCTTGGCTGCGTCACCGCACCCCGAGGCGTCAATTTAGCCAAACCGGATGACACTTTTCTCAAATGTGGGACTAAGCAAGAAAGATATTTATTCAACCAATCAGTTGCAGCGCCGCACACTCCTATGTATTTTGTATTGTATCATTTCGCTCTCAAAACCAAAACGTGCGTTCACGATATCATCGTGAAAACATGTTGGAGAGTAGCAAAACGATAGGCATGATTTAAAAAAAGAGCTAAGTATACATATACATATGTGATGTTAACCACGTGCGTTGAACTAGAGAAAGTGGTAATATAAAGATATGCGTAATACTATTTGTAATCTGCTGAATTCATGGTTGAATTCAGACACTTTGATAAGGTAATGAACACCTCAAAGATACGGTACTTGTACAATTTAATACATATGTCCGGTTTAATACAGATTTTTATACCTCGGGCAGACATTTTAGAAAAGGCCTACAGATGGGTTATGGTGGCATTTCTATGGTTTCTATATTTATCTGTTTTCTGTTGGACTCTTTGTATATGAAAGATAATACAGTTGTCGGCGAGTATAACGAATATTGTTTGAAACTGAATCTAGTTAATACTTTTAGAAACATCCTTAGGATACTATTACACTGACATGACTATACAGTGACATGCTTGTGAAGATGGAGTGTCAAACGAAGCCACTTAGCACAGTCATAAATATAGGCCGTTAGGCAGTTTCTTTGATAATGATAGACCAGTCAGGATACACAGTAGACAGCTCAAAACATTAATGAATGTTGATTATTTTTCCTTCCTTTTATCTCAACTTATTGTTCCTAAAGGGGTGTATGTTAAATTCAAGTGAACGTATAAAATATGAAACAGACATAAGCGGGTTTTTTTTCTGAAGCAAGCTCTATTTTCTACAAGATGATGACAAGCTGCCTCACATTATTTAAGACTAGCTATCGAAGCCGCAGGCATAAGGCTGCATTAAAGAAGTGTTTATCGGCCACATCTTTCGTTGTGGGAGGTAGGTCATTTGTCATTTATCAACGTCGAATTAATACTTGTAAATTTATTTCTTATCCAAAAGGATGGGATTTTGAGTCTGAAATTGCACAGATATCGAAAAGGAGTTCAACATGTTTAAATTGAAAATTCATTTGGAAATATAACGAAACGATTTTTATATTTCTGTCATATTCGGGTTGAACGAAAAGTTCAGATACATTTATATAACAGAGAAGATCCACACCAACTTGCCAAAAGCGATTCTATTATAGTTTTAAAACGTTAGGATAAAAACATAAGTGAGGAATGAGGAACATATTTTCCCCACTAGGAAAACCAACATTTGGGCACAAATTCAACTCGACCCTTTAATTATGTCGGTGTCGATTGTGCATATTTCTATGAATTCCATAACGTTTTTTAAAACGCGGAAAATTTGAAAAAAAACGCGTTAGTGGCAGTAAAATTGACTGTCGCTCAGCGAACCACTCTTCTCTACATATCAAAACTCTTATCTTATCTTCTCTATACTCAAGTGTGTCTGCGCCATGATAGAACAATATTTACCCCGTGCCATGTAGACGGCGAAGGAATCAAGCTCTTCGACAACATGTGAATTTTATGTCTGATGTGAATGTAATGTAATCATGGACGTCGACGTACGTCATTGGCGGTTGATAGAAATATCACAGATAGCGTCATTTTCGTAAGCAATCTGTCTTTATGTGATTTATTCAAATTAAATGTCTTGACTATCTTATTATACAATTCGTCCATTATTCTACAGTCATGGTGACATGGGTGACCTGCAGACGTGTCCATCATAATTAGGTGGGGATGTACTATTTATTTCTACTTGTCATTGAAGTATGTTATTTCAAACTAAGTGCATCCTAAGTAACCGTTGCATATATGTCGTTGATATGTGTTCCCACGTGGCCGACTGTCCATCCAAGGTTTCCCGTTTACACGAGTACATCGCATTCATATATGTCACATAGGGTTTAAGATACCTTTGCATGATGATATGTCTCAGTTTATGTACACAAATACATCCGCATCCATGGGTTACCTTTCCCATGTGTGCATGTTGATACTAGTATGTGTCAATATTTTAAAATAGCCTTCAGGGGATGGAACTGTAAGACATGCTGATTTGATCAATATACAATATAGACAATATTGCATCCAAGAGATACTTTTCCCATGTGCGCATGTTAATACTAGTATATGTCAATATTTTAAAATAGCCTTCAGGGGATGGTCATGCTGATTTGATCCATGTACAGGATAGACAATATTGCATCCAAGAGTTACTTTTCCCATGTGTTCGTGTTGGTATATGGCAATATGTCAACATATCTGCAGTCAGGGGATCATCTGTAATGCATATACATGCTGCTTGGGCCTTATATTGTACAGACAATATTGCATTCAAGGATTACTCTTCCCAAGTGTACATGTTGGTTCATGTATATGTAAAAATGTGAAAATATCTGCATTCAGGGGATGGATCTGTAATGCATAATACATACTTTTCTCATGTGTGCATGATGGAATGTGTCAATATATGAACATAATCTACAGCCCAGATATACATGTTTTATAGATGTATGCCTACATGTATGTACAGGTGTCCCGGGGCGCCCTTAAACAAGTGTGCATGTTGTTATCTGTAAATGCCCGAACATCCTCTAGTTACCTTAGACACGTCTTTGCATAACAGTGTGTCAATGGAGAGGCTGTACTGCATCCCTGATATATTAACCATTTTCCAGTTGTTCATATGACCCTGTACGCAATCTTCACATGATTATTATAGAGTGAGTGAGTTTGGTTTAACGCTGCTTTTAACAGTATTCCAGTTATGTCGCGGCGTGTCAGCTTTATGTGGGAGGAAAGCCCGAAATAATGCCGGTCTCAGACGTTTACCACTTCGGTGAAACCCACGAGCACGGGTATAGTGCTGACAAACCAAGAAACATAATTGGGGCGAACCGGGATTCGAACCCACAATCATAGGTTTGGATACGTGCCCAGGGGACGCAACTCTGCACAGCGATTCGCGGCGCCTCAGACGACTGGGCCACCCGTGCCCACGATTATATATAGAGCTTTGGCAATAATGTGTACAGCATCCAAGAGATACTCGTGATACGTAATTTGCGAATTCTACATAAAGTTACATTCCAACAAAATGTATTCCATTTTAATGTTTACACGCAAACAGCTATCGAACACTTTGATCTGCTTAACTGAAGAACCGCGTCCCATATCCACCAGTTATGACTGAAATGAACATGACGAAGTAGTTCGCATGCAATCCCAGAATAAGAGTCAACTGACCACATGCAGAGACACATTTTTCATCCGAATTATCATTTCCTGCCGACACGAGATCTCATGATTCCCTGCTCATGAGGAATATGATATATTCATCAATGGTAAACAGTGTGTCACAATGCATTGGGTCTTGGACGTTATGAAAAAAATATTCCTGTTTGTTTTAGAAATGTTAATCCTTTGAGAAAACATCAGAAGCTGGCAACGAACACCAGACAAAGCAAATCATGTATGGCTCCTACATAAAATGGACGTTAGAGGATAATGGAGACCTATGAAAGATGCATGTAGCTGTTATCAATAGTTCGATTTTATCAGTCGCCTATTCGTGCTGTGGTAACGTGCTGACAGAACCCTTTTATCACAGTCGGGTTCAATTATGCTATTGCTTAAAAACACGGGGAAAAGTATCACTAGTGTTTGAATTAATCAAAGTTATAGATATTGGTTCTGGGATTACAGATCCCCATTCGCATAGCATGCTGAAGGACCAAATGTGATTTAAATCTGGACGTCGAGGTATAGTGTTTCTAATTTACAATCCTGGAGTCCGACTCTGGGGATTATAAAGAACATTTGGGCCACTAGAACCTCGTTATAAGTTCAGATCGAAGGCAAGTCTATTCAGGTTTTATATGAGCATAAACCTACTCCAACTGGACCGAGCGTTGACTGCGGTCAATATCACACGGGGCTCTTTGCTCCTTCTTATATACGAGAGCTATAAAACAAGATTTGATTAAATATGATTGATTTTGGGAAAGAAATGTTTTACTGGAGTCTACGCGAACGTGTCATCCCAGCCTTTTGCTCTTGAATGTTAAGGGCATCTCTTTACGAAATCACAGGCTGCGAATGCTCGGAAAAGAACAAAAACACACATACTGTAAGTCGAAATTTCGATATGCTGTTATTTGCGATTGGAAGTTGGACAATTATTGCCATCTTGCTTGCTTAAATTTCCTAGACTGGCGTTATAAAAAAGCAGCTAATGTGCCATTCATTTGGTCGAAATTAAACATGTCTGAAGGATAATTTCTTTATCAGTGAAGAAATTAAGCAAATGTGTATATCCAAAAGTTTTATGGATAGCTATGCTAAGTTGTACATGTTTGTAAGGACAACAGGTCGTTAGGCTTTTCGTTTACGCCAGAGGCGATAGTCCAGAATAAGCTCAGAGCCAAACATTGAAATATAAAGTATGGAAGTTGTCCTATAAATCTGTGTTGCCTGTGTAAAGTCAAATACACAGTTTGGGCCGCCTCATAGTCACATGTTATTGATTGTGTTTATTGACTGTATTGATGTGTGCAGTGGTCCGGTTGGTGTCCATAATTGAATCATTTGAATCAATGTCAGTGTTTATTGTTTTTCGTCTTTCAGATTGGAGAATGGGATAGCATATCCGGATTAAGAACAATATATGATGCTGGAGACCAAGGTTCCGCTAACGACAGTTCTAAGTCATCAAAGAGTCGCAAGGTTATTACCACTATACTGGTATGTATAGCTCCCGGCTATTGTATATACAATATACGTGGTCACATTCAAAGACGTCTTCCTGTAGAGCGGATGATCGGGGATTAGATTCACTGGCCGCATCGTAAAAGACGTTCTAAGGTGGTATTTGTTGTTACGCTGCCTGGCGCTTGGCATTAAGGAGACAAGGAGTAAAGGCCTCGGAGTCAGTACACTATGTCCAGGCTATACTCCGGCATGGTATCTCAGTGACTCGTACAAGCAGCCACACACACGTGAATGCACGTCGCTACCTATGGTAAACAATACTGAACGCGATGTTAAACCCCATTTCACACTACCTCATAGACAATGATTATTATTCACTGGCTATACACGTAAAGCAAACCTATGTTATTTTACACCAACAATTAATAAGGAAATTAATTATAAGAAGATGCTATTATTATGTCCTTCTCATAAATGAGAAGTTACAATCAATGCGACAAGATAATTACATTACGAAACTCATTCCCCACGGATATTACACTATAAGGTATGTGACTTATTAGACTATTGCTCACCCTGAGATAGCTTGACAACACTAATAGCGATTTACACGTTCAAATCTCTTCAATTTCTCCAAGAGCATTGACTTGTCTTATCTGTTTTCAATACTTCTCATTGTACCATGTTGGGCAACTACAATCATTAATATCATACACGATCTATCTCTCATGCTCAGTGATCACTGCCATTAGGGGTTTTTTTAAATCATCCTTTTTAAGCGTTTGCATTATGTAAATAGTCTTGTAATGCATTCTGGCTTTTTCACACACGTTAAGTTTTGGACGTCGTAAAGTGCATCAGGACACTATTAGAATTGTATCGCATTGCAGGTCACGTCGTAAAAAGCATCAATACTTTCACTTCGACCGTGCTGAGTGGTCGTCTAATTGCTTTACTCGGAAAATACCTTCGGCGACAGGACTGTTAAACCGAAATTAAAGTATGGACCTTGTGTTCTGAGGTCAGAGCTGAGTTCCTAACACCGCCTTTAGGGTTCAAATAGTGCCGATGTCACTTCACGACGTGTCAGACGTAGATACGAAAGGGGAAAGCTGACTAATCATGGGTTAGGTGTTCGTCTGGGACATAATTCGGTAGGGAAGACACGTTCATTAGAGGTCGAATGAAGGCGATTGCAATGAACTGAAGGATAAGTCTGCTAAGTACGTCTTGTCAACGTCCCAAACCGTCGACGCCGCCGACAAGAATACCTACAGTTCCTTTTTAAACCGACGGCGAACATAACATCCTGCCAAGTAGCTGCTTAGGTTTAACATTGCATGCATATTAGTTGACAGACGTGCTATTACCTTCTGATGAGGATTCACTTGCAGGGGACATTACATGCCTGGATTGTCATCAGCGTCATAGAATTGTCGCATCACCTTGCCAGGAATGGAATCATTGAGCGTATGTCTAGTTGTATAAACCGATAGCGAAGACTGCAATCTGAGACAAAGCCTCCTGTTGGTCATATATAGGAAATGTTAAACACTGTTTACTCTGTGGTGCTTTGCTTAATCTGAATCTCGAAGCGTGAGTGATGTGAATGAGAAATGGTATGATAGGCACTTATATGCGATATGGAGCCTTTATAAGACTGTGTATTACATATGCCTCATTTGCTGGTTGTAGCCTTGGCTTTCCCGTCACTCAAATCATTCATGGTCTGTTTCAAACAAGTATAATGTCCTTGTTTGCAATTCTTCAATTCCTAGTTGACTTACTGGCTGTTTATTCAGACGAAATTGAAGAAATGTTTAAGACACCATCATTTCACTGTTGCTTGCTCGCCTCTTTCATTTTGTTATTGCTCAAACAACAGTGCATGTACTTATCTACTGGGTTTAAGTGTCTCAGTTGGCTTGATTGCCATAGCGGCATCCTTTTAAAGGAAGAAAAAGAAAACAATATTCAGTGTTACTTCTTCAAAGTAAACGTTCAATATACAGTGTAAATACAGCATAGAAGACCATGCAAAGAACCTATAAATATCACTTCAGTCTTTTTATGATCGAGATCAAAAGCTGATTCTCTAATCATCACCAGTAAGGCCAGTTAAGTGTTAATGTCATCTTCCATAAATGTTGTACTTTATGACTACGATAGGGATGAACAAATAGCGCGATGGAACAGAAAAATGTTTTATGTTTTTAACAATCTAATGTGTCGTCGGGCTAGTTATAGCATTACCTCGCCTGTATGCCTCTGATTGTTTCACACCGCTATTTCCTCGAACAACACAGAGAGTTAACGGACACTAAACTTTGCAAAGACAATAAACAGTCAATTGACACGAAATCCCATTGCGGGTGTCGTTTCAAATATTCTTTCATAATATTCAAATTTGATTGACATAAACTATTTTCCAAATTCATGCCTTGCATATTGCCTAAGATCACATGTTAGACATGTTTAGGGTACCTATTGTTTGACTGGTGAATAACACGACGGCACATATGCATTTAATAAAATATATTTATGTTATATCACTGGTGGGGTTTAAAGTCGGGTGCATGATTATCTGATTTTATAGCGACCTCCATGTATGTGTGTGTGTGTTTCTGCTTCTGTTTTCTGGTACAGTGTTTAGTGCTAGGTCACTGAGATACTATACGCAGTTCACAAATATATTCCCTACTCAGATACAGTACACTGACTCCGAGCCGATCAGTTCTTTGTTTTTATCCCCTTATATTACTGCCGAGCGTTAGGCAGGGTGACAGTAAGAACCCCCTCAACCATCTTCCTACCTCTATCCATTGCACCACGGTAGTAGTGATAATTTAACAACGCGTGATGTGAGATTCGTTTAGACATCAGGTTAGTTATTGAGTACATAAATGTCGTGCTTTGATTATTTAGCAAAGGATCAACGTCAAGGGTATGGCCGACAATGTTTCTCTGAGTGTACATATATATTAACGCTAGAGAAGAAACCATTTCAATATCGCATAGGATTTAAGATATGAAGAAGAGTGAGTGAGTGAGTATGGTTTTACGCCGCTTTTAGCAATATTCCAGCAATATTACGGCGGGGGACACCAGAAATGGGCTTCACACATTGTACCCATGTCGGGAATCGAACCCGGGTCTTCGGTGTGACGAGCGAACGCTTAAACCACTAGGCTACCCGACCGCCCCATATGAAGAAGAAGTTGAAGAAGAAGAAGAAGTTTATTCATGAATGAAGGCCACATGGCCCAGAGTTCATTTACAGGAATAATATATACTATGCACATGTACAAATCTTCTTTTACATTTGTATTTACCTAGGTAAATGTCTTTTGAAATATATGGACAGGTTTTTAACAACACAATCATTTCTTGTAGATAGAAGACTGTTAAATTTTGAGACAGATGGTTGTACATGGTAACATTTTGGATTTAAGATATGTATGACATTCAATACCCTTAATTGAACTTAAAGCCTCTTTGGTACTGACATTTTCGATGTCAAATATATCGAATAAGAACCACAGGATACTGACTATGACAGTGACGATTAGATCTTCGACCAAAACGTTCAAAATGTACACCGTCCATTTACTCCTGTCACAGCCTACGACCGAAGGATATCTAGATCTGTCAGGATCATATAACAGATATTCATGCAGATAAAGTCCCATTACATGATACCTTATCGTTCATTGAAGTTCATATTTATTCAGGGGCGTTGGGGTAGCCTAGTAGATAAAACCTTTCGCTCGTCAGGCCGAAGATGTAGGTTCGATTCCTCACAAGGTTTCAATATGTGAGTCAATTTCCCCGCGTCGTGATTTTTCTGGCATATTGCTAAACGCAGCGCAAAACCATATCATATTCATATTTCATTGTATAACCTACATGTACATTTAATATTTCTCCATTTCACTTGCAAAACTATGTAACCTGAAAAAATTCCAAAAGGAATGCCTTTATGTATTTTTATTCAAGAACGTCTTCAGAATCAGTTTTCAGAAACCTTCCACGTGAAATGTGTCCATTGACACGCCAGAATGAACCATTACATGTGTAGTTAATGTTGTTAATTTAATGTACCGCTTTTAAGAAAATCTTTCAGAATGTCAGTGTTTTTTCACATCCAAACATGTCGTTTACCATGTACTGCATCAGCAATTGTGATTAGTCTAAGAACTGGTATTTGCAAATTCGCATTTTAATTGGTGAACTGGTTCTGTATGTGATAGCACCACGTCCAAGACGTGCCAGATAGACGTTTCCCCAAAGTAGGACTAAAAATAATGACAATTCAGTTAAATCTGCTTCGAACGCTTCGAACGCGGAAACTTCCTCACTTTACAATTAGCTGTGTTTATTCACAATAATAACCTTCCTGTCTAGTGTTGTAGTGTTGCAGGTTGTTTATTGTATGTGAGATTGAGTATAACAAGGTTTTAACGTTTATTGTTACGAGAATCGATATTAATTAAAAAAAGGAGCTAAATTCGTTTACACGTTCTTCTCTGCTAATAAGTGTCACAAAAGAGTTTTTAGTTCCTCAATAGGGTTAATATGGATGACCATCGCCATTTGCCTGATTAGTTTATTTGGAAAATGAAAAGCATGGGGTTTGCCAGTCGATGACACATGTCGTTTGTACAAATCGTTCAGTTAACATTTGAAAATCGTCAAAGACTCAATAATATTGCGAGAAATAACGCCATTGGTAGATCAATCGCAAGCATCAGTGACCACGCATTTCAACGTTGCGCAGAGCAACATTTCCCGACTTCGGATATGGTATCGGCAAATTGGTACCACCAGAGATCGTCCAAGATGAGGGAGACACCGCATGGCAGACTCCCAAACAACATACATTCATGGCTCACGTGCCCTATCTGCACAGACTGTCCGTGACGTTACGAGCTGGCCCAACGTATACGTTGGCGGTGCTTTACGCTGTCATTCCACTCGGTTCATGGGGCATAAGGTCCTGTGCAGTTTTCACACACGGTATTAGGCTTCACTGGCGTGCTTGCAATAGACACGTAACCGGCACCCGCAAAGACATCTCCGTCAAAGTTTTGTGAATTCGGTTTCACTTTATTATCTTCCCGGGGCACGAGTGGCCCAGTCGTCTAAGGCGCCGCGATTTGCTGCGCAGAATTTGCGTCCCTTGGGCACGCCAGAAACCTATGATTGTTGGTTCGAATCCTGGTTCGCCCCGATTATGTTTCTAGGTTTGTCAGCACCATACCCGTGCTCGTGGGTTTCACCGAAGTGGTAAACGTCTAAGACCTGCATCACTTCGGGCTTTCCTCCAACATTAAGCTGACACGCCGTAATATAACTGGAATACTGTTAAAAGCGGCGTTAAACCCAACTCACTCTATCACTCATTATTATCTTCCAGAGAAACACATGTCCCACGTGTCGCTCTTAAAGCCTTGAAGTCACAGAATGAATGTCGTGAAATACAGATATGCGTTTTTTACGGGTAGTATACATTTGTGACGTTTCCAGAGAATATGAAGTGTTAGATTCACGTATTGGATTTATCTCACATCCCTGGATATATTCCCAGCATATTTGGTTTGCAGACACGTAAACCATCAACTCCATAGTCTTACCCGCCAGTATCGAATATGAAGTGTGAGATTCACCGATAGGATTGATATCACATCCCTAATTGCTTCTTTCCCGTACATTTGGTTTGTGGACAAGTTAACAATCATGTTCATATATCTGAACCGTCAGTATCCATGGAAACGTACGTCATCACACGCCGATTTGCCCTAATCGTTCTTAAGATATATATCTATATATAAGCATGAAGGGAGATAAATTCAACGTAAGTATTTCATATCCATCTTCCGATAACGATGCACTTGAACAAAAGGCTTAAAATGTTTCGCCAAACTGTCATGTAAAAATACACAATGAGGCGTTTGAACATCTGGTTTTGACATTTCTACCATGGACAATTGGTGTTATTCTACGTCAAGTCTGTGTTATTTCCAACTGCTTTCTCAGTTTACCATCCGGTTTTTTCCAGCTTCCACCGTTCTTGACGAAGAAGAAGGCGCCTGACAACGGAAAACCCCTCCTAGGAAACAATAGATACGAAGGTTTGCCGTTACCATTTGCTTCCAAATCACTAAATTGGGTATATTTGCTTATTGCTTGCCGATACCTCGGGATAAGCGATTTGTAGACGTGAATGGCGATGAAGTAAATTGGGCTGATCAACCCTACAGGAGAATACAGCACTGTATCGATCGAACGCCTCACGAAATGTCTCCAACATACAGAAAATGACTTTATATGTTGTGCCACTTCGGCCGCGCGCCACTTGGGTTATTTTGGCAAACAGGCTTAGTTAATTCTCAGTGGGCTCCACATGCAGATGGGCTCCTCGTTGAAGGAGATTTTGCAGCAGAACTGTCATTTTGATAGTGGAAAACGGTTTCCGTTACAAATGGAAAGCAAACTTTTTTCGGAAATGTCGAATTTAGTTGCTCATCAGATAAATCTCTTCTTAATGCAGATTTGAGGGCCAACTGTTGGCGAGCTTACTTTTGTTGGATTGCGTGCAAAGTGATATGTTTTCTGTAGAATGAGATTATTTTACAACCTTAATTGAATGCCTCTAAACAGTTTAGGTAACTGATTTCGAGTTAGGTTACCTTGGTAATTTTAACACAGCGAATGAACACAACAATGAATCTGCAGCGAGGGACCGACCGTGTAACTACATGTTAGCATTGTCACAAGAACAGGCAATCACAAACGAGTTCATGCTGAAAATAACAATAATGAATTATAATTCAACGAAAGAACATTTTTCTCTAGCAAGAAATAATGTATAATTGTAACTGGAAACACAATAGGAAAATGCGTTTAAACGATGAATGATTCTTGCGTGTAACCAAACGAAAATACATGTCTTGAAACGATAATATGTCCTTTATCTCTTTGATATTGTGGAGTTAAACATCCGAATTTGATTTAATTGCCTGTTACTCAGTTTCAGTTATCGGTGAATGTTATTACAAGAAAACAAAGCAATGTTATTATATTATATCAAATCACAATAATCACCATTGAATCTTTAAAAGTTACATCTCGTTTGTATGGAAACCTTATCCGACATGTTTGATTAGTTGATGTATCGTCTGTAGGAGTATGGTAGAGACGGTGGCGAGAGTAAGCATGTATATTTTCGGAATATAATATTCCTTATCTATTTATGTTGCTTACCATTCAAATACAAATGTAGAAGAGAGCAACGATGTTCTAAGTAGAATTTTCAATCCGCGTGGGCAAAATTGGTTGATTGTAATATACAGTTCAGTTAAAGGTTTCGTGGGTATTCAGTTGTGTAATATGATAAGAGCTGTCACTTTAGAAGTTAATTCATACTGTGGTTCTTGCAGGATTCTGCCGAGATCTGGCTGACGAGATTTCGGAGAAGCTTGAGTTTGACTACGAGATCCGCGAGGTTCGCGACGGGCAGTTTGGCGTGGAACTGGAAAATGGCTCTTGGAGCGGAATGATCGGAGAACTGAGACGTGGGGTGATGTCAGATCGTACTCAATCCCACAGTCGGCATTTTGACAAAGGCAATGGTTGTGCGACTGCAATATCGAAATTTACAAAGGAAATCCATTGTGCTCATGCCAGTAAACTTTGAAATTTCCACTTTTGAAATAAGTAAACGTCATAAAAAGCAGCAACAACATTCACAACACAATGATTGAAGAAGAGATTTATGTACGAATTGCATACTTTTAATGGTACTGTTATCTTTTTCCAAAACAATCAACCACGCAATTCTTTCATATCTCTACCCTTATTTGTATCTTTAGTTGACGTCAGTAATGCTGTAGGTATGTTTTTTAAAATTTGGAACTCGATTTTTTGGGCACACTACCTTGCTTGTAAGATTCCTCTGCACGCTTGCATTGTTATGAAAAAGAAATATAGTATCGATTAAATTTATGAAGTGATATGTTTTGCGTCTTTATGCTTTCTTGTAAGTGTTTTTGTGCAAATATTGCACATTATTAAGAGTAATCATAAGCATCAGATTCCCATAGGAAACGGTTTTACTTTATGTGCATTGTCATTTTGTATAGCTGCTCGAGTTCTATCTGAAGGTTAATTCTTTAGAAATCTGATAGTGTGTCTATAATGTATTGATTATTGTTATCAAATATTAAATTTTATCGGTATGACGATTAATCATTTCTGGCATCATATTTCAGATATATACATCATAAAAATTGAATTTTTATATAATTTCATTTCAAAATAAAAAGCCGTTCAGGCTAGGAATTGTCGATGATTTCAGATTGCGATTCACATTGCTTTCGCTATTTATAACGATTTTCGAAGAAGAATTTGTTTCAGGACATTAGGCGTTCTTTGACTTATGTTAAAAAGAAAGATAATGAATTGCTCCCAGAATGATCCGTAATAGATCCGAATTGTATGTCTCCACAGACAGATAAGCACGACTCTGCCCTCTTGACAAATATGGCCTATATCTGTGGAGCCATTTAATATGTCCGCCAATCTCCATAAGAGCGCAAAGCCCATTGTTCAGGGGACAAGAGCGTATACAAATTATCTCAAGACCCCTAATTTCTAAGATCCAAGTCCATATCAGTAATTACTAACGTCAATAACCGAAAACCCTCAGTGACTGCTATTACCTACATTCACACGGATGTCATTAATCATGAAGTGCGTTCTTTCAACAGTAATGTCCATTTCTGCCTCCAACACCAAAGGTCAAGATAGCGAAGGCTGTCGACTGCACCGACACCCATGTCCATATCACTAATTACCGTTGTCAATTTCAGCACGCCAGTATTCCATCCGTTGCTTATTGATCTATCTTATTTCAGGTAGCTGAACTGGCAATTGCTCCATTAACAATCACAGCGGAACGTGAGCGGGTGGTCGACTTCTCGAAACCCTTCATGAACATTGGAATTAGCATAATGATAAAGCGACCTGACAAACAAAAGCCTGGTGTCTTTTCCTTCATGGAGCCGTTTTCCATTCAACTGTGGGCATGCATCACTATAGCATACGTCGTCGTGAGCGTCAGCATCTTTCTTGTAAGCCGATTCAGTCCCTACGAATGGCACAATCTGACGTTGACATTTGGAGACATGATTCAGAATCAGTTCACACTGTCCAACTCCTTCTGGTTCTCCATGGGAGCACTGATGCTGCAAGGAAGTGACCATTGCCCAAGGTGAATTGATAGTCATTACGATTGACGATATCGAGAAACCAACATACATATAGATGCTTGCATGTGAAGGGTGAGACCCCATCAGCAGTGATCAATCTTAAAATGTCACAGGTTATCATGCAAAAGTGTATACGGTCGTATAAGTCATATCATCCGAAGATTATGTTGTAACTGGTACCTCTCTGTGACCTTACATCCTCTTTTCAAAAGAAGGATCTATTAATCTATATCACATTTCCCAAATGAGATAGGAAAATGAGCAGCAGCGTATAATGGTATTTTTTTCAACATTATAATCTGTCAGTTTTGAAATTGATAACAGAAAACTTGCAAATTTAAATTCTTTTTGGGGCGAAATTGGAGATATCTTCTTTGAGTATTTCTGGCATTCCATATCAAAAACATACCTAGGGACTAAACTTTTTTTCTGTTTAAGTCATTTTTTGTCTCAGATATTTGAGTGAAATATCCAATTAACTACACAAACATATCTGATGTGACCAATGAGCTTTGGTCGTACTCTCAGTGATGTATTAGAAATGGCATAAATCCACGAAAACAGGTTACGTTTCATCATAAATACGTTAAACAAATGCCGTATATTCTGGACGAATTGCACCCTATCCACGCAGTCATACACGTGGAGTTCTCATATATTCAGGGCTGAGGGAAGGCTTCATATGACTCTCCTTCCCTGTGGCATATTAAAAGGGACAGTGATATACGCATCTCTGGCTATAGTTCGAAAAAACTACTGGTTTCATTTCACAGGGGAACGCACGTCAAGAGAAGAAGGAAGGGTAATCCTTTAAGTAGCAAATTAGAACACGGTATAAGACTTATATTTCATCCTTATTAATTAGGTGAATTCAGGAAGGAGTGTAAAATGTATTCGTATGTCGATGTACATGTCATGCAACTTGTATATATAGAAGTGTATTTGATGCATTTTTTGCGACTTCTGTTTCTTCTGTTTTGGGAATTTTCAAGCAATTTCCTTTTCGACTTAATACTCCACTTACGTACACAACATCAAGTGATATTTACGTAATGCTGAAGGTTTCTCAAAGGGTCATTTTTACACGAAATATAGGCATATGTCAGCCTACATTGTCTCAAAGACGATATTTATAACGAGATTCAACATGGTTGATGTGATCTATGACGTCAGTACATAGACATGCATAATAAGTGTATATGTATATTGAACGACACGCGTAAATGTGATTACATTCAATAAAATTGATTTTTGAAATTAATGTTATCATGTTGGTATAGAATTACGACTTCATAGGTTATGACTATGTTGGTTGGTTGGTTTGTTGTTTAACGCCGCACTATTCCAGCTATATGACGGCGGTCTGTAAATAATCGAGTCTGGACCAGACAATCCAGTCATTAATATCATGAGCATCGATCCACGCAATTGGGATCGATGACATGCATCAAACCAAGTCAGCGAGCCTGACCACCCGATCCCGTTAGTTGTCTTTTACGACAAGCATAGTCACCTCATACAGCAAGTATGCATTGCTGAAGACCTATTCTACCCCGGAATCTTCACGGGTATTATGACTATGTACTCAAGATACCATATATGATGATAGACCATGGTACCTTGAGGACATTATGAGTATTTGGTGCAAAAATTTACGAACCAATTTTGCCTTTCGCTTCCAATCTGCTATACGTCTCTAACGGAAAATGAAAGTACCAAGTCTTTTCACTTTAACCTGTTTAAAGAATGTATATATTACAAGGCAACTTTTTAATATTTTTTGTTAAAATTAGTTTCAGTTTTAGTAACGAGACCTTCAGTGAACCTTCCACCAGCGCACTTCAAATCTTCATTGATAAAGAAGTGGCATGTATGAGCTACTAGAAAATCGCAATGTGACCATGACCTCGGTTATTTGGCATTTGGGGATAATGTGTGTGTTCATTTGTTACAGGTCTGCCGCTGGCCGCATTATAGGAGGGGCGTGGTGGTTCTTTGTGTTGATCATCATATCTTCCTACACCGCCAACTTAGCCGCGTTCCTTACCATAGAGCGGATGCTCACTCCAATTAAATCTGCTGATGACTTGGTTAAACAAACGGAAATATCGTATGGCACATTAAAATCAGGATCGACAATGAAATTCTTTGCGGTAAGAAAACAGATGGTTAGATGCTTAGGCCTTCTATATTGTTTCATTTGTTCTCATCTGCAGGCTCAGGTTCAGTGGAAGAAAATTTCAAAACATCACAAGTGAATAAAGGAAATCGCTTTTGATACAACCTCAAAAGTTATGAAATATGAACAGATTTCAAAAGTGCATTTGTTTATAATTATAAACCATGGCATCGGTTGATGCGTCCAAATCGGCCACCTCCTAGCTCTCCTGCCGCGCCATACCAAAAGACACTAGAGAATGGAACTTGTTGTAACCCTGCCTGATGCTAGACATTATGGGGATAAAACAAGGACCAGTCGGCTCGGACGCAACGTTAAACCCCATATTACCTCACCAAACCTCTTAACTAATAAAATCCATACAAAGGAGGGCATGTATTATGCTTGTGGCGTAAAATATTATTTACATATCAAACATTATTTTTCTCCACCAGAACCACATCCTATCGCTGTAGATGATGCTACAAAACGTTAATCAGGAAAATATCCCAGCTGTTTGTCACAATTATCATATTTATACACTTATTCCTGAAATCCACGTAAAAATCTGCTTCATTCTAAAACTCTCAGATCTGAGAACCCAGGGCAACATAAATGCACATTTAATTACATCCAATTGAATTACTGCACCCGTGTCATTGTTTTCATTGATATCAAATCAATTTCAGCAGATAATAATTCAAGTCATGAATAAGCTGGAACGTTCAGATCAAAGACAAATGACATCTGAACCTCTCCATCTTTCAGAAAACGGAAGTTCCAACATACAAGACGATGTACAACTCCATGACAACGGCGACGCCAAGTCCATTCGTAGACTCGATCGATGCTGGGGTAGAGAGAGTTCGCAACTTTAAAGCCAAATATGCATTTTTATTGGAATCAACAATGAACGAATATTATAATAACAGGAAACCATGTAATACTATGAAAGTCGGACCCAACCTGAATTTAAAGGGCTTCGGAATTGCAACTCCCCTTGGCTCAGATTTGAAGTGAGTTAATCTGTCGTTGGTCAAGTTATTGTCACATTCCGAGACCGAGATTTTAGCATTTGTTTAGTTACCTTCAAATCTGCGTTGCAACAACTGCTGGCTCCGATTTGAAATCGGCCAAGGTGATTGGCTTTTTCAATTAATAATTTTTGTTAACATAAATTTGTATCGAACACTTTTCAGGAAGAGCCGCATGACGCTCTTTTGAATCTTGGTAAAAAGAACACGAAGTACACACATCGTCTATTTTTTACACGTCGATATTAATGTTGTTTAAAGCTGAATGTATTTGTGTTTTCAAGGCTTTCAGAACATTTTGAACGCTAATGTATATGTATATACGGTCAAACTATTAAGAGTAGTTTTATTCCAGTGGCGCGACGTGACTGGAAATGCATTATATTCATCAGATATTGGTACACACGGTCGGACATAAAATTAATAAGATATCAATTTATATTGTTTATGTTACTTGACTATAGGCTAAAGTGTCACGATACTACTGTTATTATTCAAATTAATATCAAACGACCATCACAGACAGTATATTGTGGCGTTCGAATTCCTAGTTAATTAAATACTGCAAAATCGACGAGATGACTAAAAGCTCACTAAGAATGACATTTAGAAAATATCAGAGAAGTGCATGACGCGTTATTCGTGTGATGGGATATGGGCAGCACAGTTGTCTTCGGGGCCACAATTCGAGCTGTGTCGCTTAGTCGATAACCCTAGGATCCGCTAATCTTGGGTTTGAACCTAAGATTCTTTTTGAATGTGTTTTTTTGTAGTTGAACCCCTGTTCAAGTGCTTCACCAAAAGGGACCATGATGGCCCATGGCCGTGAACCCTGATTGTGTTTTTGACATGTGAGCTCCATGCCAAGTGCTTTGGTTTCGACATATTTCCATACAGAAGCGAACACGCCGTGATATAACTTAAATACCTTTTCTACCGGCTTAGAAATCAGCTGTTAAGCGCTCAATAAAATAAATACCGAACTATTAGGCTAAGGCGCTTCAAAACGTCAACGCCAGAGAATAATCAACCTCGATTGTCTGCCAAAACAGATTCCTTGAGGCATATAAGGTAAAAAAGCGATGGAAATTCTATATAGGCAAGAATTGTGACGGGTGCCACCGGTGGGACAGGATCCGCTCACCCTACGCGAACACCTTGTATGATCACTATTTTATTCATAACCATGCTTATAATAGGGTCGGACTTGTGCAATGGTCAATACTATTAGCAATGGTTACTGATGGTCATGGAAAGGGTTTACAAATGGCGTGTAGTTGCATTAGCGATGCAGTAAATTTGTCGTTCTATTTCAGAGAGAAAATCAGCTATGCAGTATTAAAATTGAAGGAAGATGGTACTTTACATAAGCTTCAGCAAACATGGTGGTATGAGAAAACAGAATGCGGATCAGACACAGGGCACAGGGTAAGAACTCAATTATTTTGTCTCGTGGAGATTCCGAACTAGGAGGGGCGGTCGGGTAGCCTAGTGGTTAAAGCGTTCGCTCGTCACGCCGAAAACCCGGGTTCGATTCCCGACATGGGTACAATGTGTGAAGCCCATTTCTGGTGTCCCCCGCCGTGATATGGCTGGAATATTGCTAAAAGCGGCGTAAAACCATACCCACTCACTCACTCACTTCGAACTAGGACTGGTTCCCGGGGACCGGCCAAAGAGGAGTGTGTTCAGGCTTGAGTGATTGGGTTCATTGTGCCCCGATGGCTGTGTTTCTCATGCTTGGAGCCACTGGTTTGACCAGTTTCGGTTGCCGTGATGTAGTTGGACTATTGTTGTCTACGGCATGGTACACATGTGTGCGTGAACGATGAATTAGTCCCAGGTATAAATACTCGGGAAGAATAATATAATTGCATATGTAGAAATTGTCCAAGCGAAGGAAATACATTCTCATCCCGGGTATATTGTTCCACAGGAACCATTACCCCTGGTATTTCGTAGCAATCGGTAGCTTCGTGGAGCAGTGTAAACATAATACATGATGTTGAAGTCATGACAAATCTGAAGGAAACTTGTGGTGTTAACAATGCTGCAACTTGTCTCTTACGAGAACAGTTTCGCCACTAACTCTTGATCGAACACCAGGAAACGATATCTACAGTTAACCTGTCTTCCAAAATGGGTAGAATAGGTCTTCAGCAACTCATGCTTGCCGTAAAAGGCGACAAGGCTTGTCGTAAAAGGCGACTAACGGGATCGGGTAGTCAGGCTCGCTGACTTGGTTGATGCATGTCATAGATCCCAATTGCGTGGATCGATGCTCATGATTTTAATCACATGAATGTCTGGTCCAGAGTCGATTATTTACAGTCCGCCATCATAAAGCTGGAATAGTGCTGAGTGTGGCCTCAAACAACAAACCAATCGAAAATGTATCTTGACATGGTTGTTGTTCAAGGCCTAACGAAAAGAGTGGAATGAGTGAGCCAGTGGCCAGAGTTGTGTCCATTTGCCGGGCCAGGATTCGCTGGTTATGGCTTCGAGTCGCTGATTTGCCCAGATTATGATCCTTTGCTTGTCAGCAAACTCACTAAACGTGGGTTCATCAATGGTGAGAACATCACGATCTGCTTCAAAAGGTTGAAACGCAGAAAAAAACTTAAATACTGTTAAAAGCGTCTCTGAACCCATATCACAAGTTCAACTTAGAACATGTCCATAGTTTGCAAACAACAAACAGCATTGACCTTGCGTCATCATCAGTCGGCCTCTTTTCAAATCTATAGAATTATTACATACAAACGCTTAAGTCGTTTTATTTTAAGTTAATGGACGTTTGTTTCATTTTCAGGAATCCAAAAAGAGGTCCCTGTCCCTTAGTAACGTTGCGGGGATATTCTATATATTGATAAGTGGCCTTGTGGTATCAATAGTAACTGGTATTATAGAAATATTTTGCTTGAAGAAAAGACCTATACCGGGAACAGCTGTAAGTATCATTTACTTTTCTGTTTGATCACATTTTTAAAAATTAATGGCACATGCATAGGGTTTCCATATACATGTAAAAGGAGTGTCCATGATGGACCAATCATTTTCTTATAACGAACAACGAAGCATTGCAGTATATAAGGAATATTGCAACGTTGTTATTACAAACTGACCTGTAATGACATAACTACGGACACGGGTTCACAAAACGATGTACATGTATAAGCTTCAGTTCAAAGTAAGAAGCTCGAAAATCGTTTGTAGGATAGATCTTCAGTAACCCATGCTTGCCGTAAAAGGCGACTCTACTTGGGGTAAGAGGCGACTAACGGGTTCGGGTGGTCAGGGTCGCTGACTTGGTTGATGCATGTCATCGATCCCAGTTGCGTGGATCGATGCTCATGATGTCAATCACTTGATCGTCTGGTCTATACTCAAGTATTTTCAGACCGCCATCATATAACTGGAATATTGCTGAGTGCGTCGTTAAACAGCAAATAAACAAACAAACAGTTCAACGTAAATTTTGTCGAACATATGAATATTGGGCAATCCATTGTTCGACTGAAACAGTGGACAATAATACAATTGTATTGTTCTACCAGGACATCTAGGACATTCGATGAGTTTTATCATTGTTTTAATACATAACAAACACTACTATAAAACCGGCATTATAACGTTACGTCCCATGAAAACTATTTGTGTTGTTTTACGCCGTTCTCAAAAATATTCCGGGTATATGACGGCAGCATGTAAATAAATGAGTCTAGACTAGACACTCCATTGATTGATATTTTGAGAATCCACCAACGCCGTCGGTGTACGATTACACTCAATCAAACAAGTCACAAACCCTATTCGTTGAGTCGCATCGACCAATATAGGTTGCTAGGGAATATTGTTTTCCTAAACCCAAATCCTCACGGGACATCACTTGAAACAATATACGGATCAAATGAAATTAACACGTCTATTCCGATCCACCAATCATCGATTATGTTTAAGACGAGTTAAAAATTATTCTACAACTCCTTGTTAACGACGTACAAAGTATCCGTTTAGATAATGTTTCACATGTTTATTCACATGTTAACACATCATACCCATGTGAGGAATGGAACCCGGGCATTCGACCGAACGATTGAACTTATCGGCTACCCCGCCCTCACACAGCACCTTAGAATGACACAAGGGAATTGTTTCATTTAGGGTTACAAGTAACCGTCTAACTTGTAATCCTATATTAAGCCAAAAGGGTCTTGTCACATGAAGCTTCTAAAGTCATATAACTGATTACATGATACTCAGCTTACGTTGGCAGTGATCGAGAATACAATCCTAGCTACCACTGTCCAGACATCCGCTTGTCCAATATTAATTGTGCCAGTATGAATACTCAGGAAATGAACACATGTATGTTCATATTGTGAGCAGTTGTAGTTCTATGTCTTACAGATGTTCGTGCCCTTTGAGACTGATTCCAATATTTTCCTTTTCAGCCAGACCATATAAAAAGAAATGATACAAGATTAACAGTTGTGGGCACCCCGCCGGAACAAATAAATGGACTTATAAATGATGTAAGAATTCGGTGAAAAATGTTGTGTGAATACGATGAAATACTTTGGGAGAATAGAAAGAAATACTTCGTGAGAATACAGTAAAACACTTTGTGAGTGTGCGATGAAAGACTTTGTGAGAATACAATGAAACACGTATAATACAGAGACCACATGAAGTATGTACCGAACACAAGAGGACGGTTTTGTAAACGAACCAATTACAAAGCCACCACACACGACTGTGAGATCTACAATACACAACTGTGAGGTCTACAATACAGCACTGAACATCATTCTAAATGTCTGAACATGATATAAAGTAGTTAAAGACTGTAACAATATGTAGAACAACATGCGAATATAATGTTCAAATGAATTTGGTGAATGAAAAGGTTGTACAATAGGGTGAGTGTGCTGAATTAAAACAATGAGTAATAAATCTACATAACATGTTTACAAGACTACAGTAGGCAAGAAAGTTGTACTAAAGATGTTGGAGCATGTGATTCTATACCTGTTTTACCTTATGTGTGTGTTATGTGTGCATTTTCCGTTACCAAACATTTTTTCGTGTGCCCTTTAATATCGTCTGACAACATGTTGCCTCAGCCTTTCGTCACAGCTATTTTGCCCTTTACGCCAAATGGAATCTCTTTCGGTGGTTAATCTAGACTGGTTATGTATTGACAACATATAGTTCTACAAACTAAACGATAAATATCTCAGCTGTTAATGATGCTTGCATCCCAGCTAATTCGACAAAGAAATGACCACACTTAAATGACTCCTTGACGTATACATAATTTAAACTGTAATTAAACGTTTACTGGAATTAAACCAATCATATGATAACATTCTATTGTTTTTGAAAAATCATTCTATATCATGCACTGAAACAAAACAGCGTGTTACATAGTTATGTCGGAATTGATAACAGTAAGCAACATACACGTCCAAATACAGGATATAAACACAAAATTATTATTTACACATATATGAAAAGTGTCGTATGCATAAAGGAAGTATTCCGTGTATCCATTTGCAATTTCAAATTGTTGATTTGGAAAACGGTCTGTTATAAGCCACACCACTGCACAAACAGAAAAATCAATAAGAGAAACAGACTGTAGGCTGGCAGAAGATCGAATGGTATATCATCCTTCATACATTCAATTTATGGAGCTGGCACCTCATTCATCAGACACGAAGATAATACTGGAAACGATGCACTGGTTGTTTCAATAAAAAGTAATTTTCATTTACTCCTGTTATGTAGCCGGTTGACGTTTCGTTCAGATAAGAATTATTCTGACTTCTTTTAGCCAAATATCCTGACTTTGCTTCGGTGGCCACATAACTAGTAATTGAACTAAAGTGATCGGTAAAATAATTGAACCAAATAAATCAATATTCATCATGAATTTAAATTGCATGACCAGTATTTTGCTTTTTGTTTAAGGTTTAAACATTATCCTCAATCAGTGGTTTTGAATGTGTGCTGAAATATGTTATTTTACATGAAGACGTGTTGCTATGTGATAAGGTATTATATTATGATGCAGCTTTTCAAACAGTTTTACATTTATTGTGTAGGTGTGTGATGACGACTATGAGAAAACGAATACACGTATATGTATACGTTTTTAGGCATTAATATCTTGGAAAATGTCATTCAGATGTGATGGCATATCATCTTGATTAAGAGAAGTACATGTACATGTAGACATACATCGTTGTACGTCAACAACCTATTTCTAAGTACAATATTTTGTATCTTGCACACATTCACATGCCTGGATAAATGTTTCACTTTGTCTATCGTACAAGAACACAGACCCCCTTGTATCTTTCGTGATGAGTGCCTCGTGTAAATATTCATGGTACTCAACTTCTTTGTACAAACATTTTCACATTTTCATGTACAACTGATACCCTTGAATGTAAATAAAGAATATATCTCTTTTTTTCCTGTTTGTTTGTCATATGCTTGCATATCCATTAACAGAAGAATATATGAATATCATGAAGTACTGAAGATATATTTATCAGGATTGGTTTTAAACGGATTTGAAAGGCAGACCACGTGAAGGCATCCACGAGAGAATTCCAGAGAGTAGCTACAGCATTGACAACTGTTCTGTGTCCATATGACTTAAGCCGCATCTTACATGTAGGTTCTGCTAACAGCGTTGATGTACTGGCTGTGAACGTCTCATCACACAGAGCATGTATACAAGAGTGGTAAATTGTATTCTCCAAGTGTATTGGTCACGCACAACAAATCCTATAGACACTGAAACAATTTAATAGTGAGTGAATATGGTTGTATGCCGCATTTCGGAATAATATTCCAGCCATGTCAGATTGTGGCCATGTGGGGGATCAAACCCATGTGGAGCCAACGGTTCAACCACTAGTCTGCTCCATCGCAAAACTACATTATAACAATAAATAGATATAAACATATTAAATACATCACTTAGTGGATTGATACAACTCACCACCTTCCACTGATTTTATGATCATTGACCAAATGAAACTCAGAGGCTGTAAGTTTTGGGGATATGGGCAAATATAAGCATTGGACTTAGACCTAACTCCCGTTAGAATATTATAACATACATGTCTTGACATCTTTGGATTTTCTACATTGAAATGATGGTAAAACAACGGATGCATTCTCCACATTATCCCCACAACAACAATAACCATATGCACGTACAACAAACGTCACATTCATTTTTGAAAATATTCTAAATTCTAATGATTACAAACATTTTATATAGTTATTACCAGAATATTTTTCATTCATTCATTCATTCATTCATTCATTCATTCATTCATTCATTCATTCATTCATTTTGAAATACTACTCTATGATAAATTTGTATAGCGCGTCTCATCCAGATACTTCTTGCTGAAGAGCACTTATTTAAACATCGAACAATACACACATTCACCACACAGACCGGTGTTGAGACAACGCGTTACATGACACCGTGCACGATCATTCTTTATGCGTTGGCTTGTCTTCATTGTCTGAATCTAACAGTTGACGGTATGTAAACTATCACATCTTGGCAACATCTCATCGATCACTTCAACTCTCCGTTACCAATACATGTATTGCAAAACTAAATTAATTATAGTAACACAACAAACCCATTGCATAGTGTTGTGTCATGTTCTGTTCTATAACATCAGCACGGCATGTTTTGTTTGCAAACCGTTCAGAGTGAGGTCATACCATCATATCAAATATGGGTTGTCGAAATAACATCATTATTAATTAATCAAGCACAATTTGCCACTGTGTTCAAAATGAAAACGGTGCAATATAACATTGCTTAGATAACGTAGCATATGTTAGTTTTTGTGTGTGGCTGAATGTACTTGTCCGGACTATAGTGCTAGCCCACTGAGACACGGATACTCCACTCAGACACAGTACACTGTATACTCCTAACTGACAAGACCGCCTCCGTGGTCTAGTGGTAGAGCGTCCGCCCGGGGAGCGGAAGGTCCGGGGTTCGATCCCCGGCCGCGTCATACTAAAAGACGTTAAAAGATGGTACTTGTTGCTACCCTGTCTGGCGCTCGGCTTTTAAGGGGCTAAAACAAGGACTGGTCGGCTCGGAGTCAGTATATTGTGTCTGAGTGGGGTATTCATGTTAAACTGCGGCATGGTATCTCAGTGAGCTAGCACTATAAATCGGCATCAGTCCGGACTAGTACAAGCAGCCACACAAACACACACACGTGCATGCACGTCGCTATATAAGTGCAATAATCTTGGACGCGACGTTAAACCCAATTTCACCTCACCTCACCCAACTGACAAGTCTATTCCCTGTTTACCGACCATTTTTAACATCTTTTATTCTGACGGTCGGGCATCGGACCACAGACCTACCTTCTCAGGGCAGACATTCTTTCAACAAGACCACGGAGGCGGTAGTGAACAATAAGAAAGTGAGACCACCCATTCTTTTCCTCGACAATAATGTCGATCAGACACAATACGTTCATATACGAAAAGACATTTATAAGAAACGGACACCAGCAGAAAATGGACAAGAGGCAATTTCATCAAGTTATGTTGACGAGTTTAATATTTCGGGGCTCTTATCACTATTCTATACGTAATTGCGTAGAATATGAAAACGATTTCCAAAGTAATGAAAACCATCTAGAAACCCCGGGAGCCTCATTAGGCAGCTCGAAGTACCGTTATGCTAGAACTGCACTGCCGTGACTCCTTTGACAGACTAGAAAACGAAACAAAATTGTTTTCGTGAAATTGATGTGAACTGTGACATAGACACGATAAATGTTCTCGGGAGATTATGTTTCTCCTGGCATGTCCAATAATCTCATTTGTCAAATAATCCCTTCGTAACACACGCACGCAATACTATCCTGACCATGTCATATCAAGCAGACGTCTACTATGATGTATGTTAATTATTTTTGTTTTAACATTCATCTGATATTGTTTAAGCTTTCACATGGCGTTGCCAAAGTAGACGTAGAACTATATTATGGCACTACAAGGATATTAAGAGCGAGTGAATCTGTTCTTTAACGGTTTTTCAGTCATGTCACCAGAGCGGCTCACAGGATCATGCCAGGCCTAAGGGAAGCAACTCTGGGAAACAGGGCCATCCGTGCCCACTTAAAGATATTATGAAATGCATAGTCCATATTCGTATGGAAATCTGTTATTGTACCTTTCAACTGAATGAAGTATCATTTTTTGTCCGGGGTAACATTGTGCCCATTGAGTGTGTTTCATAATTATATTATAACTGTGGTCACTATCGCCTAAGGCGCCGCAGTTGGTTTCGAATACCGGTTCGGCCTGATTAGGTATCTAGTTTAATAAGCACCATAATCATATTCAAGCTGCCCTGAAGTGAAAAGCGTCTCAGATCACTTACTCTCTATTATTAACATAATCACTATCATTGACATTATTATTATTATATATGATTGCTATCATCATTACTATATACGAAAATCAACACAGAATCTGTAAATATATATTCCAATACAAGTGTTAAGAATTCCTAATAAATACCACACAACATTTGAAATTCCCCTCGGCTGATCAAAACAAAACAGGTACAGAAAATTCCCAAATATTTTTATTTAATATCGAAAACACATTTTGTACTCATTACATTCGAGAAAACCTGCTATCGAAGAAAGTCGATATATTTCTGTAGTTATTTGATAAGGAAGACAATGAAACAGAAAATACTCCAATTGATCGTCTATGACTTGAGGAGAGTCACATCTGGTTTCTTGTCGCTTAGTGAGACTAAACGAGCCTTCCGCTTCCAGATTGGCATTATTCAATGATGTATAGACTCGTCAGGCGATTTTCAGGAGCTGTGATTTCAGACCATTGGTGTAAGAGCAGTTGTTGGGAAATATTAATCACTAATGCCCGTGTTCCCGAGGCGCAAGGCGGGTTGACCGAATTAAGAACAGAGCCGCGTGTTAACTTTGATGTGTTTGTCGACAACTTGTGGAGATATTTCTTCTGCTCTCTTGCCTTGGGACGGATTTATGTATATGTATAGAACGGGAAAGTGTTCTATTGAAATACCTATTAATTTTAAGAAAATAACATGTCGTGAAATATAATGGTTTCATATGAAAAGGCAAAAAGAAAAGAAAATGCTTCCATTGCATATGACGAATCGATATACAGGAACTTGTTGTAAGCAGACTTAGGGTCACTGTACAAATGGTTTCTTATCAAAGAGAATAGAGAGCATAGAAACATGTTTAATGTTTTCACAAAAATCATTGATCGAACATTTGTAGCAACAGGTTAATTATCTGCACGAAATGACAATGGTGTTTACAGTCTTAAAAACAAAGCGTGCAGTACAAGAGTGTTATAATTATGGTTCATATGGCGGATTTATGTTGCGAATTATTAGATAAGGCTGGCAGTGTACATGTATATTACCATTCGTAAAAGTTAGAGGCAAAATCTAATTAATATTTTACCATTAAGAAAAGTTACAAAATAGTCCTGCAAATATCTACTGCTTTAAGGTGTGACTCCTGCAAATACCTTCTGCTTCGAAGTATGACTCCTGCAAATACCTACTGCTTCAAAGCACGACTACTGCTTCAAAGTGTGACTCCTGCAAACATCTACTGCTTCAAGGTGTGACTCCTGCAAATACCTACTACTTGGAAGTGTGACTCCTGTAAATATCTACTGCTTCAAGGTGTGACTCCTGCAAATACCTACTGCTTCAAAGCACGACTCCTGCACATTTCTACTGCTTCAAAGTGTGACTCCTGCAAATGCCTATGGCTTCAAGGTGTGACTCCAGCAAATACCTACTGCTTCAAACACGACTACTGCAAATATCTACTGCTTCAAAGTGTGACTCCTGCAAATGCCTACTGCTTCAAGGTGTGACTCCTGCAAATACCTACTACTTCGAAGTATGACTCCTGAAATCATCTACTGCTTCAAGGTGTGTAGCGTCACCTGCTTTGATGTTCTTGAGTCTTGTTTCCGCACATAACTGCATTTCCTAAGATGTATTGGTAATATTCAGTCTGATTCTGTTCTTAACGTCATAAGGAACAGCGCCAATGCATTTACGAAAGAAAATCTACGGTAAGTGCGTTCATATTCCCCCTATTGCTGATAACCACTTGAGACGGGGTCTCAGCAGCATCCTACATTCTACCTAGCTTTATTGTAGACAAAGCCTGCAATTGACTTTCCTTACATTTCCATTGATTGTCAGGGTAATTGCCCTGTTGTCTGTATCAACATGGCAGTTGAGGGTCAAGATTATATTGTAGATGAACATCATCCTAACAGGAAATCAATTGCGTTTGCACAAATGCCCCTCGTCTATAGGGAAAATGGTTATGCTGTGATTATAGCCCGCCAACGCCGCCACCAAGATAATGGAATAGCA